TTTCTAATACATTTTAAAATAAATTATTCAAATAAATTTTCTTCTAAAATTTCAAGGGCAGGGCAGATGTCTCCCTCCCTGCCCCATCCTGCGGACGCCCATGCCAGGAGCACAAAAGCCTCTGGGTTTCAGTTGGTCAGGGCCTAATATTTTGCTCCGATTTGTAGGTCCATTAATGTACAAGTAACAGAAGGGAAAAGAGTGCATAAAAGTGAACAGTACAATTTAACTTTTGCTCCTATTTTTCTTTTAACATAGTAGAAGCCATTACTTTTGCTGCAAGCAGAAGAAAATATTCACATATGCTACGTAATTTTTTTTAAAATTATGACCAACAATGTATTATAAGATGCGTAAATTGAATTTTCAATTTGACTTCCAGTAGTAGTATTGACTGTCTTTTTAGTTTCATACAGTAAACGTAGTTTATTCTAATAATACTCAATCGGTTTTCTAATATAGTCTGTATGTTTTATTTCTAAATGTTGCATAATTTTTGCTGTATTCATACTTTCGTTTGACATAATCTCATAACAATGCACACACTTTGGATTTTGTCGTTCTTTGCTTTCAATAAAATTAAATCTCATCTTAATAACTCAGAGTACTTACATTTTATTATTATTATTGGTTTGTGGTTTATCACTGTTGCACAACGCAACATGAAATGGACATTTAAAGAGCGTAATTTTATCCAGCGATCATTTTTCTATTATTAATGGTGGAACATTCACCCAAATTTGCCATATAAATCACTCCAGTAAAAATGCAACAATGGTCGATAAATATCGTGAAAGTACTCCAATTTAATTCTAAATTAATAGAATAGATAAATAAGACAAAATAATAATGGTCGAGTTTGAAATATTTTAAATAATTTTGAAAATTTAATAATCATGAGTTGTAATTTTACTCTGCTAATTAGAATTGAAGTCAATAAGTTATTATTTCAAATTCGAGCATAATTAAAAAAAGGAAAAATAGATGAAATAATTAAAATTTTGATCAAAGTGTTAGTATTTGAAGGCTACATCTTATGCTAATATAGTCTTAAATTTTGCCACTTAGGAACTCCAAAACTGCAGTATTTTTCTTTTTTGATTGTTTTGCTATTCGTCATTCTTATCCTTTATATAGTTATCCAAAAGTATCCTGGTTTAGGTTTGAACAGATTTTTTCAAGAACTGTAGCTCTTGTTTTGTTACAAAAGTGACAGTTAGCTTTTAGTTACTCAATATGTGGGTCAAATAAGATGTATTGTTTGGCGAGAATAACAGCTATGTTTAATTGAGATAATAACTGAACAACTGTTTTCATGAAAGTGATTGGAAAATAGCTATGCAAATACTTCATATTAACAAGTAGTAGCAAAAAAAATACGAATTTTGATGGTCATTTCACTCCCCTATGGTCTGTCTGATAAATAAGATAAAACATATGTTTGTCATCTGATATTATTTCACGTTGGAGCTGACACGTAATAAGTATGTAACCTCACACCCACTACAAAGCTTACTTAGCACAATAATCAAATATGCAAATAAAAAATAATAATAAAAAAAAAACAGTGGAGAGTCGTTATTGAGAATTTCCTGAAAGATGTCTGATTTTAATATACCGGGCCACTCAAGCAAAATTTCATCTTCATTTGAAAATGATAGCAAAGAATTCATTTAGTATACATCAAAAAACAGTACTTGCGATACGAATAAAATAATTTGCTGTAAATTTAAAATAATTCATTTTTCCTGTTAAGTACATTTAAATTATAGTTGAAGTTAGTATTTACTTTAGGAGTACTGGCTGCAAGTTATCTTATGTATTATACTTTTCTTTTTTAATAACAACAATTGTACTTAAACTTTGTTTGTAAATATTGTTGTAATGTTCTTATTAAATGATATGGTGTAAATAATTCAGACTCCAGTCCACGCAAACTATAACAAATTAGTTTATTTCTCCATTCATGATTTTACAAACTTGAAAGCTGTGGTAACTTTTAGGCAACGTTTAAAAATGACGCTAACTGCACAACACTACGTAAAAAAATCAGTTTTCAAAGCAACTCACTACGCGCTGCGCTATAGCTAACACCAATTTAAACTAAAAACAGCTTCGACATTGATCCATCATGTGGGCCAGAAAACGTTTGTTTGTAATTAAGCACAAAGTTACACATTGAGCTTCCTGTGATCTGCCCACCACGGGTATCGAAATCCGGATTTTAGTGTTGTAATTCCGCAGACATACCACTGTGTGGGGGCGCCAGAAAACGACTATCTATCGTCTTAAATTAACTAGGCCCAGCATGGCCAGATGATTGGGGCGCTCCTCTCGCAATCTGCAGGTTGTGGGTTCGAGTCCCAGTAAAACAAAACATGATCACCCCTTTAGTCGCGGGGGCGTTATATAATGTAACGGTAAATCCTGCTATTCGTTGGTAAAAGATTTGGCGGTGGATGGTGGTGACTAGCTGCCTTCCCTCTAGTCATATACTGCTAAATTAGGGACGGCTAGCGCAGATAGCACTCGTGTAGCTTTGCGCGAAATTAAAAAAACAACAACACATAAATTAAGTATCTTCTTCGATCCTGGTATCTCTGATTCATAAGAAAACTTGACGTCAAATTTTTAGAACTTTCCAGACTTATATAATTAAATATTTCTATTGCCCCCTAGTGATACAGCGATAGGTCTGCGGACTTATTACCCCCTAGCACATCACAGCTAGCCTATTGTGTAGCTTTGCGCTTAACTAGCATAACAAATTGATAGTTTTTAAACATAAGGCATTCAGATTTCAAGATAAACATAGTATGTTCAGGAATAAGCTTCGTCATTATTTTTATAATATTAAAGTTAATAGGAATGTGTTCAGGGTTTTAGTTAAAATGATGACTATGATATAATGGGTTATAAAAAAACCAGCTAGTTTCACTTTTAAAACCTTCAATTGCTCAATTAAAAAAGATAAAAAGTTATGTAATAGATTTTATTATTAATTAGGTTGTATTATTAATTTTTATTTTTTTATTTTTTTTAGCTGTACTCTTTAACTTGGTATATGTAATAAACTTTCAAAAGGGATGCAGTTCAATGTCCAACAGTCTCTCAAGGTACAGGACTACAAATGTCTCACTGGAATCTGACGAGATTGTCATTCTAGAACAGAGAAGACAGTGTTTCTCAGTCTGTTTATAACTGTGATAACTTTCTTGTAGTTCTTCCAGAAAAGAGTCTTCTCCAGATGACTTCACAAGCTTGCACAAGACAATGGGATAAAAAAGTTAAATTTGGAAACTCTTTCATTACACGGGTATTTTAATTTTGACTGCTTAATAGATACCTATCCACTAGCATGGTGCATTAAATATAAGTTCTTGTCATACTTATAAAAGAGAGATGCACCTGTTGATTTTTGCAAAACTTTTAAGGAACTATAACAAAGAAAAGAAGTATTTTTCAAATTTTTTGGATGCAAGTAAAATGAGAAGAAAAAAAGGCATAAAAGAGTCAATTATAACAATGTTGACATTAACATTGGTGTACTGTCAAGGTATACATACTTATAAGTTTCAGACTTACAAAAAGAAAGCACTAGAACAGTAATCTTTTTCTTAAGATGCAAATAAAAAATTGTACAAAATATTTCTTTTTCTATAAGTTAAGTTTGGTGGAGCCTTTTCAGAGTTTGAAAAATGATGCTGGGATTAATTACCATCAGCTTTTTAAGATTGTCTGGCTTTTGTTTCCAATATTAATAAAGTAAATATTCAAGTGTCATTGTTTTTTATTTTCATCTCTGTCTAATGAGGTGAATACTTAGCAATCTATGAGAATAATCTTGAGGGAGGGGATTTGTAAGGGCATTCCCTATATATGCCAAGTGGAATATCAATGGTATATATATGAAATTTGTATATGTTTATATGTATTTGTAGCTTTTCACCATACCTGTAGAACAAAAAAAATGCCAAGGGATTAGCTGTTATTGTGTTAGTGAAAAGAGAGAACTGAAGAAGATTTGTAAAGATATCATGAAGAAGACTGGTGTTCATATTGAGGTTAGCTCATTAAACAACCAGAATTTAATGATTGTAGTGATGGGCAAAGATGATGCTGTGCTGAGAGCTCAGCAAAAATTTGTGAATAAGCTAAAACCTCAGGTATGTTTTCAAAACAAAGTTATAAGGAAATTAAAATTTCTTTAAAAATTAGTATTTTTGATTAATTCCTATCGAACAATGTCTCGTTTACTATTAACATCAAAATTATTATTGTATGTAAGTCGTTGTGCTTGTTAGGGTCTTCCAATTCTTGTACGTTTCTTACTTTAAACAAGAATACTTTTTTTTAAAACTTATTTTTATTTCAAGCAGATATATATTTTAAGAAAATTGAGTTTTTCCAGGGTATTTTTTTTATTGTTGTTGAAAAACATTATTGTATATTTTATCAGAATAATAGTCATGATAGAAGTAACACTGAAATCTATTTCTAATAGGATGTTGTGAATGTATCCATTCCAAAAGAACATCATCGCTTCATTTTAGGAAAAAAAGGCAAAAAACTCATCAAACTTGAACGAGGCACCAAATACTAAGATTTCTGTTCCCAGACCTTTAAATCACTCGGACGTTATCAAAATCAGTGGGACTAAAGAAGACATTGAAAAGGCTGCATGTGAAATTCAAGTTATTATTGATAAAAAAGTAATATCTCTAAGGATTTGAAGTTTATGAAAATAGTGTTAGCTTTTTTATGAAAGAAGTGTTAGTTTTTCTATGAAAATAGTGTTAGCTTTTTATGAAAGTAGTGTTAGTTTTTCTATGAAAATAGTGTTAGCTTTTTTATGAAAATAGTGTTAGTTTTTCTATGAAAATAGTGTTAGCTTTTTTATGAAAATAGTG